GGGTGGAATCGAGGGTCGGTGACCATCAAAATAAAAGAGAATGAATTTCTTCATCACATCTCTAATGACGTCAACAACTCATTCGTGTTCACTCACCTCTGGCACCTTGTGTCGACACATCAGGAACATGAAGACTAATCCCAGAAGGATTCCTAAACCGATGAACATGAAGGGAACGTTTTCCACAACGTTCTTCACGGCAACAATCTTGTGCAGCTTCTCGGCTGATGCGTCGTCAATGACAACGCTCTGACAACACGGTGAGAAAAAAAAGACGACATCATCAACCAATTACCAAAGAATACATGCCAAATAGTTTATTAGAGTAAAATATAAATGTATTATAACTTCATTTAATTTTCCAAGTTTATGAAAGCAAATGAGGCTGAAAATGTTTTACGAGCAGCTGAAGACCTTCTTTTAAAACTTTAACTGCTTATTCTCACATTTCTAACTGCTACTGAATTTATATCAGTGCGATGAAAAGCATCTGAATGTACGTGGCTGGATTTCCCTTGTTTGATATTTCCAGAAGTTGACTTGAAGTCAATTGTAAAACTTACAAATTAAAATTTACCACTAAATTAAAAAAAATAATAATTCAAACTGAAACATCAGCGCTCTCGTCTGTCCGCTTACATTCTGTCAGTCACATGAACCAGAAAAAACACCAGCGTTAAACTTCAAACACTTGAATTTTCTACCAGACTCTGTAAACCCAACTAAAAAACTAAACAAATCTCAGCTTCTACATTTCCTAAGTTTTGTGGAAAGATAGTAAATACTCAGAGGTGGTTAAATTTCACTTAATTCTAATTGTAAGAGCCTTTTCTCTCCATGTAAACAAGTTAAGTTGTTAGTTTTATTTCCACATCTTATGAGATTAAATCAGTTCCAAGCTAAAGTTAACAATAATGTTATTTTTAAAAGGCAAATTTAAGCGTATTGGGGGAAAAAAGAAGCAATCTATAACTAAACAAACAGGCTAAAAGTATCACTGCCTGATCCAATCAACTCCAAAAGCTAAAAATTTCATTGTTATTATAAAATCTATTTCAATGTGGGACAATTAGTGTAATGCGTGAATGACGGGATTCTGCCACGAGATGAACGAGTGACACAAAGTCGTATATTGCGTCAGATAGACACAACAAGGTCAACACAAATCTTTGCCCTTTGAAAGTGGCATAAATTTGGATTGCTGATTCACGGTCTGCATGTAAACCAGCGCTTCGTGTGTGAATGCCTGAAACAAACACGGTGAAAGCATGATGTGTGCTGTTGTACCTCGTTGAGATAAACCACCGGGAAGACCACCGTCCTCACGTTTCCCGTTTGACTGGAAGAAAAATAAACCGACTCATTGTTTTTCCTGCAAACACAGACTTCTACGCATGCTCCAATGAGCTCATAAATAAACAGAAAAGACACATTCAGACACCAAATTATGTATTTGAAGACAAAATCATGACGCTCAGTGTGTCGAAATGTAGTGCACATAAAGCTTGATAGCGTGCACGATCTAGAAGTGTTTTCTGTCTCAGAGTGTCATGTCTCAGCTTCAGAGGAGGCTTATGTAAGAATGAAAACAGCTGCGTGCGCCCTGTTAACACTCCGACTGTAAAAGAGCCAAAACCTGGCTGATGGAGAGATGAGAGTTTCTATTTGGATTGGGAAGGAGATTTTTGGTCAATAAGAGGCATAAAGAAGTTGTGAGAAAGAATCCTATCAGAAAGAACTGAAGGAGTGGATGATCAGGTGAATCCTCTGCATACTGAATAAAACCCTGTTTGTGGCTTCATAGCAAGTAAAGAATTAACACGTTTACTTTTTAACAATCAAGCAGAGATTTCACGAATAGAGAATTCGATTGGCGAGTATCAGAAAAGCAGCAGTTTGCAAAAATATACATAAAGAAACCAGCAGAGTTTTGGATTAAAGCTCTACGGACTGATAAAACTAAAGTCAGCTTCTAGGAAAACGATGCCACGAGAAAAAAACAAAAGGAACTGCTGAGGATCACCTCATCTGTCATTCATGCTGGTGCTTCTGTTCAGGCTGGATGATGTATGTAGCTAAAAAAAATGGAAGTACAGGAGCATACTGTCTGCTCAGATTCATCCAAAAGCTTTAAACCCCATGACTACTCATTCAGCAGGACAACGATCTAAAACATACGACCAATGAGAGCAGCCAAAGAGCGTTTCAGGTTGAAAAATAAACACCAGACTCCAAAGGACTTCCAGCAAAAACTGAAATATTCACATTTTATTTGTCTTTCCATCTACTTTTAAGCTCCTAAATTTGAGGCGCTGTGTATTTAAAGGGCTGTATTTTCACACAGTTTCCATATTTACATAAACCTACTCAAATTGAAGCCGACACTCTAACGCAGCATCTATTATTTTATATCGGCTTGTGTGTGTAAAAGCATTTGTGTGTCTGGACCCCAGATTATCTCGCTGTTTGTTGCTTTAGATGCCAGGTAGATGTATAACAAGTTAGCCAGGACTGTCCAAAAGTCCACTCAAAGTGATGATGATGGCATTATTTGCTTTGATGTTATCTTACTGGCAACCCTCCCCAGACATGGGCAGTCGTACTGAGCACTATTTCAGCTGGCAGGGAGCAACAAGACACTGATGAAGGCGACGAGCCGGTTACCTGAAGGTGGGAATTTTCTCCACATATACATTAACCTGGAGCCGCTTGGCCGCTTGAAGGACGAATCCTGTCAGCTGTGAAACAGAAAGAAACACATGAGAAACTCACACCTGGCGGCCACTCCTGATGAAGGAACATTTAATTATCATATGGTTAAATATTCAGCACCACACATTATCCTGACACGAAGCGCTTTATGGCGCCAACATTTTCCAGGATTTTTGACTGATTTAAGAGCGAACACACCAACCCGCTGCTCAAACGCCTTTAGATGTGTAGATTCCTCTCCATTACATAACACCATCGGGGAGGCGTCTGATCTGTCCCAAAATCTTTCTGCGGCATGACAACAACTTCAAATATACAGCTAGCGTCATGAAGCGCTAACTTCAGCTAGAAGAAGGACCCTGGAGGCCTAATCTCAGCATCGTTGTGTCAGTCTGTGAAGAGGCAGAGGAACCCAAAACACAACGACACAACATCCTCGCACTGCACTTTGTAGGAACTTAACTGACGACTAACAAGTATTCACAGCATCTTCGGTGTATCCTCGTTCGGCTCACAGCAGGCGTGCGTCTGCGTGCATCGTTACCGTAGGAAAAATAAGCACATCTCCGGAGAGTGCCGAAGCCGTTCAGGGCACCACAACCCTGAGGTTACGAGAGAAGTGAAAGGACTTTGATCGGTCCCAATAATCTCACGCAGTGGCAGAGTTAAGATTACAGTATATTAAGGAGGATAAACTGACAAAACAGTAGCTTGTTCACCGGGTTCAAAGGCTCCTCTTGAACTTTCGATGCCACTGTTTTACATGCAGCTGAAGATAAAGTGTTTGCGGATTAGTGTGAAATGAAAAAGTATGTCAGAGTTCCAGGCTGGATTTCCATCATCGCAATCCATGTCTCATTTTGCTCATCTGACAACTAAAAGATAATATATTCTAAATTACAACACTGCAGTATTCTAAAAATACACTGCACAAAAAAATACTAAGTGAATAAATAGTTTTGATACGAAGCAAGCTCCGCCCAGCTTCAAAGAAAGAGACCGACTCAAAGACTCAGACGTCTGTCTTATATTTAGACTTCACCCGATTTGTTGTTGCACAGTTTGTGTCTTTGTGCAGAATTCGAAGCACCAGAGAAGAAAGTGGCCACGCGTCTTTTATCAAAGGTCATGAACCGTGAGTGAGCTCATCTTTTTACAACTACTGGGACATCTGCCCTGATTTATGAGTAATTAAACAATCACTTTCACTATAATTTCTGTAATGTAGTTGTAAGCAATATCTCTGTTCTGAATTTGTCAAACAGGTGAAGCAAAGCACCCCCACTGGCACAGAAGACCACAAAACAAAACTGACTACTGAAATTGCACAGAGGGACATGACGCATCATGAGATATGTCTCAGTATTTGTTTCCTCTTTCTACAACAATAGTCTATACCTGCAGCGTTACTCTCCCTCGCCTCAACAGCACACAGTGTGCTCCTCAAAGTGTTTTCGCCGTCTGTGTCCCTTTATCAAGGATCGACTGCAAGCTCAACAAAATTAATGCAGTATAACTCGTGATAAGAGCTGTAAACGCTTATCTTTCGCGACAGTTCCGTACCATGTACCTCTGCTTTAATTTTTAACCACCGCCTCGAATAAAAGCTGCTTCCCGGATGACCATCGGCGAGCAGCCACAAAGCTGAGATAGTTCGCCATCTAGTGGTGAGAGGTTGTTCCTACAGGTGTTCAAAACCACTAACTAACACTATCATATAAACAATAGAAGGGTGTAAGTGGGTTCACAACAACACAATGTGCACAAAATTTGAGCATGTATGTTGTGATTGTAGCCCTGCGATAGACTGGCGACCTGTTCAGAGTGTCCCCTGCCTTCACCCTGAGTCGGCTGGGATAGACTCGTGACCCCAGTGAGGATAAACGGTGTATAGACAATGGATGGATGTTGTGATTCTTACCGGATTGATATCGATGACCGTCTGGTGCTGCTCTTTCTTAGGCCTCATGCCAAACACATCCTTCACAAATTTCTCATCTGCCTGGTAGAAGTGTGGTGAAGACATTATGATGGGAGCTCCTAAACACACAAAAGATCCACATTATGGAAACAGAGCAGATTCAGACAAAGGCGGGCCGAGTGAGGAGCCAAGAACATTTGCTTGTTACAATGGTTTAGTACATTTCCCACCTTGTTTACACACGCTGACGTTCAGCACGCCGGAGCCCAGGCAGTTACCAGCAGGCACACAGAAGCCAGCGTTGGCTGGGTTCACTGTGGAGTTGGCAAACACCTCGCTGGGGGGACTGAATCGATACCCGGGGATGCCCTTCACACTCACCTCGGTCTCGTACAGACCATACAGAGACCTTGGAAACAGAGTCACATGCCGGTTAATCGGTGGAGACCTAAATAATTCTGTAAAGCTCAAAGTGTAACAAAGAGGGAAGGTTTGCATTGATTTCATACACAAGCTCAGCGGTAAGCTGATTTACTGAAAACCTAAGTGGCACAAAACTATTTGCAAGGCTGTGTCGACGCGTTACTGCCTCATAAACCTCGATTGTTAGGCTTCTAAAAGCCTCGGTCAGCAGGTACCTGACCTGCATATGCTGTGCTTTCTGATTCTATCTGCAGTCAAAGAGGGTGGATGTTTGCTTTTTCAAGTACTACTAAGCTCGTCTTAAGGTAACAGTGGCCTCATTCAACCGGCCATACAACCAGCCAGGCTAAATTGGTTTCCCTAATCCAATATCTAAATCTGGAGAATGCCAAGAAAAAGGCTTAGCGGGACTGAGGGGGGAGCCATTTCACTGACAAGCACAAGCCAGAGGAATGATACCAGAGAGGTTGTATAAAGAGTCAACAAAGGGACACAAAAGTTAAATGAAATTACTTATAAATAACCTGCAAGTGTCGGCATAAGAGGAATTTTATGCTTGCATGTACATCGTAAACAACTAAGTTACATGAAAGGCGTTACAAGTGTAAAATAATGACAATTTCTCATTAACAGGAATAAAGATTAGTAATGATACTAATCAGCATTAGCTTAAACTGCCCCTTAAGCCTATGTGGTTGTTTAAATGTCTAATTTCTACAATCAAGAAAAACATGCGCCTTAAATAAATCCTAAAATGCAAATTCATCTCCGTTTTTGTGCCTCCGAAAGACCCTGCATCCACAAGACGTGGACAAATACAAGTAACATAAACGTATAAAATAGTTTAGGGCTTTCCAAGACACATCTCCAGACACATTTATGAAGCGCCTTTCTCCTGGACTCACCTGCACAGGTCAGAGGAGAACATGTAGAGCACCTCGTTCTTGGTGATGACTGGATGGAAAGATGCTCCGTTGGTTCCATTAATCATGTTGCACTCATCAGACGTCCACCAGTCCAAAGAGCTGCAGGCATGAACAAACATTTTAATATGGTGACATTTTTATAACACCATCATATTTCAGTTTGCGTCATGCGTGTTAGTTTATGTTTGTCAGCTTGGGTTAAACGCTGGTAACCACATTTGCTGGTTTTTGGCAGATGCAGGAGGGCAAAACAAGCTTTTCTTAAAAAAAATTAAAGTGTCGGATAAGACAACAGATAGAAGAAAGCCTGTAAGTCTAACAAAGAGGATTAACACTGGTTTGGCTTTTAGATCGTGTTGGAGTGCTTTTCTTTGCCACAAAAGAGTGAGTTCGTTGCTTCAACCAACCAACTAACGAATGTAAATAATTACATTAATCATCACATAATCTGGCAAAGGATCAGCGTCATATCAAGCGTTATCTGACACTAGAAACCCACACTGAGCTCCCTCAAGCTGATCAAACAGATGGAACGAACCTTTGATGTTCCTGTGTGTGACACTGATACGATCACCTTCTACCCATTCATTCACACTGCCCAGGATCAATAATTCTCTTTGATCGGATTGAAAAGCGAGAGATAATTCCATCACTTTACCTTTTACCGTTCCACGTGTCGACTCTGGCAAAGTCTTTGTAGTTCTGCTGGCCAGTGAAGAACACGTACTCTCCATCATTTGAAGCGTTGCTCTGTGGTTAAAAGACAAACAAACACATCAATAAACTGCTCTCACTCTAGAAACGCAAAATCCCACGAGACTGTACACGATCAATCTGATACTTTTATGGGATTTTAGGTACTACGTATGCATTTATATGATTTATTTTATATCATTTATGAATGTGAACAATCACTGTCTGCACAAAGTATGCGATTACATATTGATATGCTTAAACGAGACCTTGTAGAAGAGTCCGAAAACATCATCCAGGTCGGGGTGTATCGTTTTGAGGGCTTTAAGCAGGCCGTCTTCGTACCCCCACAGCAGCTCTCCCACTGTGCGGGTGGTGAACAGGCCCTCCCCCGTGGATTTCATGTAGGCGGAGATCAGATTGGCCACTATAGTCGAGTCCTTGAATCTCTCCATCACCGTCTAACCAGGAGAGAAAAGGAAAAAAAAAGAGATGTCGTTAAGAACAATTGATTGTGTAAGGTCCCAGCTTACATAAGTTCCACAAAGAAGACCAGGTAATAGGACAAATCATTTACTGAAGTAACGTATAAAAAACCTGAAGTGCGGTTCACATGACGGTAGCACGTTACAACATACTGTCAGACTAAAAGCAGAAGTCAAAGGACACATTTAATCTTTATTGTGTGTGGTACAGCACATTCAATAAAACATGTTTAAATAAACAGAACGCTGCTTTCACTCCCATGTCGTGTCACATTCCTGCTCATGTAAATTATTATTTTATTTAATTCTGTGCATCTCCTGGAGGCTAAATACAAATGAAATAAAAAGCTTCATGTGTCAGCACAGCAACTCAGAGGTTAGTGGAAAAAAAAAAAAACAGAAATTATTTTAAAAACTACTTTGAGTCCTAATATAAGATATACCCAAATTATTTTATTTAATTTGCTGTTTCCTATAAGCAGAGGACACATTTCAAACATCAGCATCACAGTCGATCATCTTCATCTAGGTGAGCCAAATCAAAATCATGATTGCCATTAACATTTCTATTTTCATTTCATTTTCGGTGAGCTCACTGGACTTCTCTGAGAAGTCAGAAATTAATCAAGCATGACATTCAACCACTAAAACTTTTTGTTTGTTTGTTCAGGAATGCTTGTAAATAACTAGACTTGGCATCTTAATCAAGAAGTAATAATGTGCTTTACTATTTTTCCTTTTTTTTTCTTGTAAAATTCATGGATAACAATAATAATTCTATTTTAGCATTAGAAATATCACTTCGGTTAAAGAGCTTCTCCATACTGGTGTATTAACCATTCCAGAAACATCCATCTATCCATCATCTATACACCGCTTAATCCTCACTAGGGTCACGGGGGGGCTGGAGCCTATCCCAGCTGACTCAGGGTGAAGGCAGGTTCACCTGGACAGGTCGCCAGTCTATCACAGGGCCACACTTAGAGACAGACAACCAAGCACACTCACATTCACACCTACGGACAATTTAGAATCACAAATGAACCTCAACATGTGTTTGGACTGTGTGGGAGGAAGCTGGAGAACCCGGAGAGAACATACAAACTCCATGCAGACAGATGCCCCCCACCGGGATGCGAACCGGCGACCTTCTTGCTGCGAGGCAACAGTGCTAACCAACTGCGCCACCTCACAGCAGCCCTCACAAAAACATGACTTTGGTAATTACCAACGCCAATTTAGGGCAGCTGTGGCATAAACCTTTCATTGGGTGGTGGTCAAATTTGTGAAGCATTGAACATCAAACACAAACCTTCTTCATTTGTATGTTGCTGTAAAAATAACTCTTGAGAATACCATGACTGTGACTCAACAGTAGATTATCTTACAGCACTTTGTGGATTCCTTTCACTCACCATGGCGGGGACGTTAACGGTCCTGATGAGGTCGCTCTCTGGACCTCGGGACATGTTGCGCTGGAATATGTAGGTTTTAGTGTTGACAGCTGTTACTTTGGTGCCGTTATCATGGAAGACCACTTGCTCCATGGGCCGGTACTCTCTGTGTAGAAACACATGATATTTAAGCATGACATCAAGTGCTTTGTTTCACAGCTGCAGCCAAATACAGGGTTGTTCAGGATCATGTTATGGCTCTGTTTTTTTACAAACAGTATCAATCTCTCATTAGGCTCATAAGCAGCAGCCGGCTGGGTGAGTGATGAGGATGTGAGACGCTCGTTTTACCACTGACTGCGCGGACTCCGGTACCCACAAGGAAACTTTGAAGAGGCAGCCGGTAAGATGCGACTTCTATTTGAGGGCTGTTTCGTTAAGCCGCTACAGAGTTTGCACGCGGGATTGCAGCGTGCTGTGAACTTTGCTCATGTCTGGTTGCGTGCGTGGACATTGAAATGTTTGCACTGAGGTCTGTCATATTGGCGGGGTTTGTGTAAATTGATGCGGGGATACATATTCTTGGAAATGTGGGTTTGTATTTGTGTGTTTAAAGCTAAGACAGAAACGCAAATATGGTGTGTATGCACAAGCAACTGAAATTATATATTAAAGGTGCAATATGTGTATGTGGCATTGGTTAGATTTTTAGGCTAACTAACTAACTAACTAACTAACTAAATGAATCAATAAAATGGTTATTGATGGGTGGAGGTTAGTTGGTTAAATTAAATCACTGTATACTTGTAATTAATTGTATTGGTGGTAAGACTTTTAGGATTTTCACTGTAAATAATGTGTATATTTTCTTGGTGTGTTTTGAAGGTTTTTTACCTGACTGATGTCTGACTGAAGCCAAAACTGACCTCAATAAAGAATTGAAAGAGACTTGAAGGCCTGTCTGAGTAAATTCGAGCTGCATACTTCGCATACAGCCCTTTCAAGTGTGGGGCACAGCGCAGTTGGGCAAAACACTTGACACTCATTTGTATGTGCAATCGTCCACACTATGTTGTATTAGCACTAAACAATACTTGAAATTAGGACAGGACTACCTTGATGTACAGTCCTTCACGTAGTCAGGAACCTCACATTTAGTGACTTTATCTGCACCTCAGACTGCACATGTTGAGGTATTTTCCTTCTTTTTGACTATTTTTTGTATGTGATGCTTGAAAACCCCATATCTGTGCAGTTGGCTTCTGTAATACGAACAGCAACATCCAGAAAAAACGACGCCAGTAAAATGTCTCTTTCTGTTCCACACAATCAATCGTCACGTCCTTGTAACTTGAAACATATAAATGTGAAAGTTTATGTGAGAAACCTGAGCAATAGTGGATATTTCTTAACAACTCCACATGAATGTCCTCAAGCAGCTACTGTTTTACCGATTCAGTGAGTTCAACATTTGATTTCTTTAAAGAATTTCATTTGGTGTAAAAAAAAAAAAAAGAAAAGAAAATCATTGTCTGCATGCAAAGACATCCACCAAAGCAGGGTTTACAAGAGAACATGTACTTCAGTGTAAGTGAGTAAATGAATCACAGGGTCACTGTAAGGCACAAATATGCTGACGGAAGACAATAAATTGCTTTTTTGGCAGAAAAATATAGATATCTCAGTGACGCAAGCCTTACTTCCCAAACTATTGTGCCTGTGAGTTGAGAGAGTGGAGAGAAAAACAAGCGAGTCAGACACAGGATTGCATTTATATCTCTCTGCATCGGTCTCTGGAATCCATCGTTGTCATTTCAGAGGAAACCATAATTGAGTTATGACAGAGACACATGGGGTGGGTGAAAGCCTGGCATAAGAAAAAGAAAAGAAATATTCGGTCTGAATGTGGTACCTTTGCTGCCTTTATCAGTCTGAGGGTTTTTCAAACACGACAGCGATTCTGCTTCTATAAACTAAATGTGGTTATTCTTGCTGCTGCAGTTCTTCAACCTAACTTGACATCTTCAGCGGATACACACAGAGAAATTAATTCATAGGAGTACAAATGTTGGGGTTCGAGGTTTTGGAAACTCTTATTTTATTGAATTACTTCCTGTGTTTGCTTGGCTGCTGTGTTTTGATTGTTGTTTCAGGCTGGGCGAGGCCATGGCTGAGAAAAGGCTTGCTCGTTCTCCACCGCCCCTGTCCCTCCTCGGCAGTCAGCGCTGCTTTTAAGCCGGCTTCTCCCCGTGTTTCAGGGCCAGATGATTAACTCCCCCCTGAGAGGTACATTGACCACAATAGCAATCTCGAGTTCTCGTGCTTTGTTTGTTTGCCTCGTGCTTTGTTTGTCTGCCTCGTGCTTTGTTTGTTTGCCTCGTGCTAACCCTCACCTCTCGTCATTCCCTTCAGAGGCTTCTCAGCCTGACGTCTCCTCCAGCCCAGCCTTCACGAGTCAGCGGCAGCCCTACGGTCCCACACTACGGATTCACTCTTCATGAGCACCATATCCCCGGAGCACAGATTTCCCTCACTGGAGCGCCCGGACGGACTCCCTGGATGACCCTCTCCCCTTCACCTCCCTCACAAAGACCTGCGTGTGCCTGCACTTCCCCCTCCTGCTTCCTCAGTGTCCTCACTCCTGCCCCTAATAAAGTTCCCTTTACTATTGTACCCCGTCTCCCTTGTCGCCTTTTAGGTCGGCTTCCTCTATCTAGGAGTCAACTCCTACCAACAAATGCATCACATTATTTATCATCCTCCATGTACAACAGACACATCTGGTTTAAACCTCTTCTACCCTGTTCTATGAAGACTGTTCATATATTTCCACCATTTCTTTATTTGTGCTTTAGTTTATGTAATACTCAGTTTCTTGGCACATTCTCAGGTTGATGGATACTTTGACATTTGTATGTGCTGGTTCTGGCTTTTTAAGTCAAAAAACGTTGTGCTCATTTCAAAAACAGTGTTGGAACTGTGTGCTAGAGGATTTCAATTTTTAAACTGTTTTACTCACTTGGACTTCCTAAGTAAACGTTGTCGATGTATGATGCTCACAGTTTGGGAGATAAATGGGGAAACAAAAATCCTACATCCTATTTTTTTCTCTCTCACCTGTATGTATACGGTCCAATCTCCACCACAGCCGGCCTGTCGCCGTCCAACACCTCCAGAGGATTGGTCAGATTGAAGAAGTAAAACTGCATGTAGATAGGCGCAGGCGGATCTTCCCAGGCCTCGAACGCCTCCGTGCCATTTTTTAAAACTATTTCCTATGGGGGACAAAGGGCAGTGGGTTAAAAACGTGTGACTTCAGAGGAGCAATCTGCTGACGATAAGCTGTCGCATGTCATATGACTGACGGCATGAGTCGGCTGCAAGTGATGAAATCAACAATAAAGCAGAACAGTGCAGTCAGGACGGGGCTCCTGACCGCAGCTGATCGTTTTCACACAGTGGTTAGAAGCTAAACCCATGATTGTAATTCTTTTTTTTTTAAATTTTGCAGCCCTACTACTGCATTAGCCATTGCAATTGGCTAGCTGAGGCTCAGTATCTTCCTGCCTTCACCTGTGCTCTGATTATAAGGTGTGTCCGAGATAGACCTCTCTTTGTTGGTTGAGGAATGCACATCAACTCAATGGCTTGTTTTACGCCTCAGCAGGTATACGTTCCACCACTTAACACGGTAGCTGCCTGTGCCGGTTAAAGCGACAACAAAACAACCAAATGATCATCAACTGGCACACTGTCAATAAAAAGGTTGGTCACAGTCTGGAGCTCTGGGTCAGGACACCCCAGGGCAGAAGGAACAATCTTGTGAAGGTAAATAGTGAAATTATACCAACAGGAATCATGATAAGCTCCATTTTTTTTGGTTTCTGGTCGTCGTACAAAGGCTTGTGGCATTTAGATGCATTATTTTTAAGTTAACTGACATAAAAAAAAGCACTGGCAGCTTAAAAAATAGTGATAGTCTGCCAAAAACCTGATTGCAGGAGCAGTTAGTTTTATGTCACCAAATTATCTTACCTCCTCTGGGTCAAAGGTTAGAACCAATCCAGTTCTTTTTACTGGCTTGACCAGTTCAACTCGTATAACGCAGACTCCTACTTGCTAAAATTGGGACTAAAATGTTAATAATGCACGACTAACCATGACTGATTTCAATCATGAGAGTTCATCCATGCAATAAAGATGAAGAGATAATTGTTTTGTATATAAATATACAGATATGTTAACTAGAGTCTAGTTTCCAAACATAAACAAGGACATCTGATTAACAAATACAGCTTAAACATCATAAACTAAAGCATAAAACTCCCTATAAATGGCATGCCTGATTACATTATAAACCACCAAACATTTTTTGGTCACATTAATCTGTTAGTTAGATAAGTTTTACAGAGATAAACCTTTGCTATCACCACAGATTTACAGCTGAGTGTATGTCCACGTTACTCGACTGTTTGACCCAGATAACAGCAGACAGAGAAACTGGACGATAATCAGCTTTTCGCACAATTGTGGCTGATAAAACGCACGTAGCTCCAGAAGCAGGTTACAACATCAGGAACAGACACTACAGCCCTCAATAACAGCCTGAAAAGTAACCCCAAGAGCTAACAAACTATCCAGCTAGCAGTTCTCATACACAAAATTAGCAACGAAACACCAAACTGACTATTTGCTGTTTTGCCAAGTCAAGCTAGCTTTAGCATTAGCCTCCACCCAAAATGTCTGAGGTTGTGATGAAACGCTAAATAAGATGCTTACCTCTTCAACTGTCGTCTGTAGGAAATGTGGGAACACGGTGGATAAAACCAACGAAATGCCGAGGATCAGCAATAACAGAGAAAACACTCCGGTGGTGTAAATGCAGCAGGTTTTCAGAGGCATGATGAGGCTCCAGTGACAGCGACACTGACTGAGCTGTTGTTGTTGTGATGACCCAGGAACTCGCCCGACGGAGCGAAGACACACATCCGGAGTGAAATAGTGATCCGAAACCAATTGCGCTTTCTGAGACAGTCGGCGGCTTCCTAAAGCGTTCAGCCGTGACAACAAGGCTGCGGTGGTATATTGAAAATAGACGATTAATGCAAGCTGTACGAAATGTAGTAATGCCCTGGATAGTGGGAAAATAGGCGTTTTTCTTCCACGTTATCCGTTCGCTAAAGCCACCATGCAGGGCGGGTGTCCATCTTGAGGGTAAACACTCTTTGTTTTTAATCACGTTAGAGTGACATCAGCGATAAAACCTCCGTTAAATCATTTTATGAAGCTTTTTGTGTCAAATATAAGCAACTAACCATCCACATAAAACCGTATGACAGGATTTATTTTAAGGTGTCTAGGATTAAACTGATAAAAATCATTATTTGTGGTGCAATTTTGGACTTAAAGATAAGTGTATCAAGAGTAAAAATTTAACAACAACAATTAGTGATGCACGATATTAAAATCTCTGGCCGATACCCGATATTAAGATTTCTGATATCGCCCATAACCGATATTACCGATATTAAATTTGTGTTTACACTGCAAAATGCATATAAGTGTGAGAACATGGAAACTATTCACCAAAATTAGAGCACATAGTCTATTTAATTATGTAACAAAAGTGTGAAGGAAAACCTTATTTAGAGTTTTAGAGAATATATTGAATCCTGACTGACCTCCTGAGGTAAATGTAGTGCTTGTAGCAGATCTGTAACTTCTATAGATTCTTCACCTCACGTAAACCTCGCTATAGGAGGACAGGCGGGACAGCCTGCACCTCTCAAGGCCAGATGTGGGGTCTTAAAATTAATATTCGATTTGGTCTTGTACATTTTTATTTTATGCAATACTGTAAGGTTCTAACCTTAATATTAAACTAATTAGCCACATTGACATAATTAATAGTAAGACTGGAAATCAGTGACTTCATCAAGGTTTTATTTATTTTATTTTATTAAAAGTGATATGTTTTATTTTTGTTTTAACTTTATCCTAATTATTGTGTTGCCTCCTGTTTATTCTGCTTTTGCGGTGTCTGTCAAAGCAGTTTATAAACCCTTGTTCTTAAAAGTGCTTTATAAATAAAGTTATTGCTATTTTTATTATATTATTATGTTGCAATGTTATAGAATAGAATTATTTTCATTGAATTTAAATTTACATGTTACAGCTGCATCCAAAAAAAAATATATAGAAAAGAAAGTACAAGGAAATAACAATAATTAAGTAATAAAGTAAGTATGTACACAAGATGACAAAAAACATACTATTGAAAGAGCTGGTGTAGAGTCACTTCATGAGAAGTTACACACAGGCATTAGGAGTTTTACACTGAACACATTTTCATCAAAGCAAATGCTTTTATAAAGTAGATTTTACACATTTTTTTGACTTTCATTTCAACCCAAACCAGCAAAATAGGCCCCAAAGGAACTATACTGATTTTGTTAATTTAATTAAATGCCACTTTCTGGACAATATGCACCCCTTAGGCAGAATAATTAAAAGGCCTTTCGTGTGGGACTTGTGATATTGCCTCTTGTCTATCGTTGTAATGACGATTACCAATTTACCACAGACAGGAAATCCTTGGAGGCCCACAGACCCTAGTAGGTAAATCCAATGCTGTCTAGGGTTTGTGCTTCAAGGTACCCTTACCTCTCTCTCTGTGTTTTAATGTTTCTCATTCTATCCTACAGTAAATATATACTTTTCAACTATAAAAAAATCCTCTTGCGTCAGGAACATAATTGCCTTGAATAATTTATTCACCAAATATCAGGTCTGTTTACTGTTCAAGCGATTCTTAACTGATGTGTGCATACTGGGGCTCCACATGCTGAAAACTTGTTCTATTTAGGTTACCTGCATGTTTTTGTGATTTGTGTGTTTCCTTGTGTTACCTGTACAAATACTTCATGTTGATTGCATTATTCTATCTAAACGGCAACAACAGTAAACAGCCTGTCCACTAGATGTCGCTGTCTTGACATTTACCGAGACACCACTGCCCACATTCTTTGTTGCCCATAAATTGGAATCTAGAGTACTTGTTGAGTCAAAATTTAATACAAAAGAGGCCACACCTCGGCTAAGCAAACCAACCTTTGAGCAACCATCTGTGTCACTTGCTCATTTTGCAGATTGTTTACGCAGAAATTCCCAAATTACATTATTTAAAAGACACAGCTCATATTTCTCGAGTAAATATTTAGAAATCTGTCAGAATGTTTGGAATGGACCACCGCAGACTGTGTATAAATTATGAAAACGGTTGATTTCACCAATAATTTTGTCATAATTTGAAAATTAAACACAAAAATCAGAACACTCGCCCTGAATCAGTGGTTTTGGTGTGACGCAGAGACGGTGACGTGCCCTGTGATACATTATCTCATCTTACCAACTGGTTTCAGCATTACGATGTTGTCGCTCAGACACGTTCTTACTTGCATTAATAATGTTTCATTGCAGGCTGTTGCGAAATGAGCCCATAACATCAACATGACTTGTTTGACAAGCAGAGTTTCACAACTTAAGAGGCGATACACATGAAGACCAGGTGACACAGGGAGTAGACTACTGAAGATAACAAACACTCAGTTGTTGTTTTCTGTGGAACTTTGCCAAGTCTGAGATGCATTGTGGGAAATGAAGGATTCAGATTTTTGGAGTTTGACCACCCTATAGCAGGATATCTCAACCCTTACTGCATTGATTTGACCCTTCAAAGTGCACCACCTGTGTGAGAGATCGCTGGACTAGCCCGTTCAGTAAACATACACCGCTTAGTCACTTTATTAGATAGACCTATAATCTGATGAAAGCCAATAACGTACATTGGAAAAGTACATTACTCACTCACTAAGCACCTAGATAATGAGGCTGTAACTGGTGTTGTTGTACCAGACTGCAGTATACTGAAATGTGTTTGTGATGTTTGTCATTGTATCGGGAAAAACACCCCCTCTGTTAAGTTTTACCACATCTATATGCTGTTCACGCTATAGTTGAGCATTTCCACCTGGAAGCCGCAGCGTACAGATGATCGTTTCTAAAACACAGATTCGGACTTCCAGGGTTTCATATGTAACAATCATAAGGAACGAATCCTGTCATCTAGCCGGGTGAGACTTTCTGTATCCACTTTGAGCATGCATGGCTGAATTACTGCAATACTACAACTGTTTATCTAATCTTATCACAATTATTGCGTCTCGGACTGTTTCAATCAAAACAAAACAATATTATCTTTAAAAAAGTAACGTTTATGGCTGTACCAGTACTTTGCGGCATGAAAACATATCACCAACGTGCCAGTTCTGAGGGTGGAGGGTTACAAGAGTGCAAGGGGTCTGGTCAAAAATGTTCTAAAAGGGACTTGGGAGAGCTTGAGGCTGGTGTCATCAAGAGCAACCAAGAACAGACATCTTCAGAAATGGAGTTACAACTGCCTAATATAAAGCCACTCTTGAACCAGAGACAACTTCAGAGGTGTTTGACCTGGGATAAGGAGAAAAAGACTGTTGCTCACTTGTTCAAGACTTTTCAGATGAAGGTACATTTTGCATGGAATTTGGAAATCAAGGTCCTAAAGTCTGGACGAAGAGCAGAGACACACAAAATCCAAGTTGTTTGAAGTCCAAGTTTCCCCAGTCTGGATGACTTAGGGCACCATGTCATCTGCTGCTGTTGGTCTACTGGGTTTTATCAAGTCCAAACATCAGCCAATCATCTACCAGGAGATTGTGGTTCACTGACTATGATATTACTGTGCTTGACTGGCCAGCCAGCTCACCTGACCAACACCAGATGGGGCATTGTCAAGACGAAGATGAGAAACACCTGACCCAAAAATACGGACGAGCTGAAGGCTGCTATGAAAGCAACCTGGGCTTCAGTAACACCTCAGCAGTGCCACAGGCTGATGGCCTCCACGTCACACCACAATGATGCAGTCATTTTAGTAAAGCAGCCTCAACTAAGTACTGAGTGTATAATGAACATGCTTTTGTAATTCCCTTTTTTTGATTGATCTTAGGAAATGTTTTAATAATTTGAGATGCTGGCTTTAATGAGCTTTAAGCAGCAATCTTCAGAATGAAAAAACAGGCTTGAATGTTTCACTGTATGTGTAGTGAATATAGAATTTATGAAGGTTTACCTTTTTGAAATAAAATTAACTTTTTCAAGGTTTTCTATTTTTTTGAGCTGTGTCTGTGTTTTATCTTGTGGCATTGTGGAATGTGTGAGTGAGGTTTTGTGGGAAATGTTTTATGTCTTATGCTTTGTGCCTGCAAAATCTTTATGAATGCACACATTTCTTTAGATCGGGCTGCCAGTACTCATTCTTAAATTGCTTTCATGGTGCTCTCGGTTGAAATACAAGTAGAGGACCCTGGAAATAATAGTAGCCTCATTTTAGCCGGAATGCTGTAAAGGATATTTTGGGGTTGAATCACCAACAAGGTCATTTCAAGCATGAAAAACTGGAAATTGTTTGAGGCAGTTCAGGGTGCAAAAACACAGTCTCCAGACATCCCCAAGGGTTCTGAGGTGATTTATAACATCCTTGCAGAAAACAATACAAAGTCAGATAGGCTAGAACAATACAAGGCCTGTCTGGCTTTCAACAAGGATTCTAAGACACAGGTTTAAACCAGAATATATAAAAATGTACCTGTTAAAATTAAATTACAAAAAAAAGATGAACCTTTTTACAGTATTCTTATTTTTTGAGCTGCACCTGTGTCCTCCTTTATGTTGCTGGTCCACTGTGTTTCACCAAGTCCAAAGTCAACCCGGCTGTACACCAGGAGATTTTAAGAGCGCCTCATGCTTCCATCAGCTGACAGGCTTTATGGATTTTCCAGCAGGACTTCCACTGTGCCAAAACTACTACCGATTGGTTAGTGGACTATGATATTACTGTGCTTGACCGGCCACATTGATGCAGTAATTTCTGGTAAAGGAAGCAAGTTTTGAGCGCTTAAATGAATATTTTTTTTTAGAAGTTGGTTATTTCTGTATTGTGAATCTTTTTTAAAAAAAATTTTTAATCGACCTTAGGAATTTTTAAAATAATTTGACTTTATTTATTTATTTTAACTGGACCTAACCTTTTTGAATGAAAAACAATTTCACAATTTTTAAAAAAGTATTATTATTATTTATTTACAGCTTCACCTATGTTCTGCCGTCCTGTGTGGTGCCCGTGTGGAGTGGGGGTATTTTTTTTTTGTGGGAACTGCCCCTTTAAAAAACCACAACATGAATGGGGGGCACAATAGCGCGCGCCAGAGGGCTGTTTCGCTCGCCGCGGTCACGAGAGCACGGGCGGAGTGACGTCACTCGCCCAAACCGGGCAGCAGCAGCCGTTGAGCGGAGTCTCGAGCCAGAGACGAGCAGGAGTCCGTGAACGGCTCAACTTTTAATGTACGCGGGGCCGAGACGAGCCGTGCCGCGCTGTTTTTCCTCTCCTTTACCCCTCCTCCCGGCTTCGCTGTCCTCTCACTTGAGCTAATCAGTTTTTAATTTTTTAATTTTTTGGGGGGGCGAAAGAAGCTAACAACAACAACAACAAAAAGAGCGGTTGTGTCTCTTTTATGTGTCCTCGTCCTGGGAAACACACCACCGGGGGTAAGTCTGTCCGGGAATTTCACATCTTGTAAGTTTTTTTTTTTTTTTTTTTTTTGGTTGTAATGATGCCAGGATGCCTTTAAACTAACTGTTTGTGAGTGAATGAAACCAGCTCGGCTCCTGTGCTGTCCCAACGGCGCAGCTACACATCTGATATTCCTGTTTGTTGGACAGTGATGCCTACATTTGATAGTTTCACGCGTGTTTGCTCGTTGTGTTCATGCAAAACTCTCCACGAGCAGTATGCAAACATGCAACCACTGGAAACAGCAACCTCTGAGCTGCTTGAGGGCATTAATAGAAGTTTGACAATGGGGGGTAAAGTTTCCTAAATGAGCCTCTGACATCCACAAAGACATGCTCAAACTCTGTTACCCCGTCTTGATTTTTTGTGTGTGTACAGATTTGTGTAATTTCTGGGCTGCTGGTCTAATCTAATCAGGCTTTGCTTTGTGACTGTGGTAGACAAATGGATATGAGTGTGAATGGCTGCCACAGACATGGCTGTTCATTCTGCACCCACCTACAGTACACCTCATCTAATACACTTCCCACACAAAGCTGCACACAATGGGATCCGAAAATCTAACTTGTGCTCTGTGTCTGCAAATTCCTCACAAATGCACGCATTGTAAAATGTTATTCCTCCAGATCGGTGCTGCCAGTAATCATTGCACAGGGTCTCGAATTGCTCACACGGTGCTCTCGGTTGAAATACAAGTAGACACAGAGGACCCTGGCAAAAATAATAATGAAGTAAGTGAGTAGCCTAATTTTGGCTGGAATGCTCCAAAGGATATTTTGGGGTTAAATCACCAACAAGGACTGGAACTGGAAATTGTTTGAGGCAGTCGGGGTGCAAAAGTCTCCAGACATCCCCAAGGGTTCTGTGGTGATTTATAACATCCTTGTAGGAAACAATACAAAGCCAGATACTATTCTCCGAAACAGGGTTAAATCAGAATCGCATTTGACAAGTCTATTCCCACAACTACTCATTAGTTAACGCGTCATAGTTAAACGTAAAAGTGATTCAGCGTTGGCTCGGCTCAAGTGTAGAACTCCACATTTCATTTAGCTTTTGTAAAGGAAACCGTTGATTGGCTGTCGCTGTAAATCACTGCTGGTGCACACAGCTCATATTGACAGTCGGACAGCGGATTTAACGATACAAAAATACTTCGTAAGTCAAGTAGTTTAGTCTTCAGCGACAGTAAATAGCATCTGAAATGGGAGCTAACATCACTGAGGCTAAGTTTAAACATCTGGGTTTTTTTTTTTTCCCCCCTCCACAGCCTTGACTGAGCAGTTGAGTGAGTGACTGCATGGATCAGACTGAACATGAAGAGCCTCAAAGCCAAGTTTAGAAAAACTGATGTAAGTACTACAACATGTGTTCACGACTATGTAAATTGTGTGTATTGCATGTAACTGACCGTGTGTGTGTGCACATGTGTACGTCCGCACGGCTGAGTCACTGTCTGTGTATGTATGGCGCGAGCAGTCCGGCATGATTTATGGCAGAAATTCTTCGCTCTCGGGGTCAACAGCACCCTCTGGCTTGTTGATATTTTGAGATTTGTTCAAGAAAAAATAAATAGGTTAGAAAAATAAAACAAATAGGGCCTAATGATGATGTGCGCCAGAGCTTCCTCTGTGCTCTCGTAACAAGAAAAAAAAGTAAACCATGCTCAGTTTCACATGACAACTTGTCAGCTCTTATTGTGCGTGTCGTGAGAAATTTAGGACCTAAAGACGAGGTCATGACATTGAGGAGCTATTATCCCCGGTGTTAGCGATGTGACACAGACTTTTATATAGACAGACAGCAGAGAAACTATACTCTGAGTCACTTTGGAAAGTGGCTGTACAGTGTAATGTGAATTCTTTTTAATTAACCCCACAAAGACTAGAGATGCCTTGAGATGGTCTGAGTCTACACTGCCCCAGATGAAGTCTTCATCCTGCAAACTATGAATCAGTCTTCAGGGATGAATTTCTTTATGGTGGTTCAGTCATTCATTTGGTCACAGTCTGTGATGCTCTACACTCACAGGAAGTGAGGCGTCTCCACAGTGTCTGACTCATCTGTTGTCACGGTGACCCTAATGACACAGAGCCAAACGCCAGACAGGAAAAGTCTGAAGGGTTGCTGGATGAATGAGACAATTTTTAGGCGAAGGAGGGCGTGTCAGAAGTAGAGACGAATGCAGCGAAGAATGCCCACTAAATGAGACGCTGGGTTTATGTACACAGTTTCCATGAGATTAAGAGTGTGTGGTGGGACAGGATGGTGAGCTCCGGTTAAATGGCATGCTCCGCTGAGAGAGAGAGAGACGGAGAGACTGTCCCGCAGAGGAAGAATTAGGCGGAGTACATCCCTGCTTTTATTCAATTATACCCACAACATACTGCAGGGCATAACTTGAGCTTGGATTACTGTGTAGGGAGCTAGACGTCTGCTAGTGGAAAGCAAATCAAACCCTTTGAGAGCCACCTGTAGAACATCTAGGAAAGCAATACAGTTATTCACAAAGTTATAATTATTCATATTCAATCCAGGTGCAAATATAAGAAATTGGGAAAATGTTATTTTATTCTTCGTGTTTGATTTCCTTTTTGACAGCCTGCCATGTGTCTAACATGGTCCCACTGCCTAAAATTAGTAAATTATTGCAAATTTAGTCAGCTATGTCGGAGAGCACAATGGTGTCCATTGTTCTAGAAAATGTCGAGTCCGGCATTGGGCTCAAAGGTCAAATAGTTCCTGCTTCTGGCTCACCTTTATTTGGTGTTTTCTGGTCAAAACCTGTACTGTAGCAGCAGCAGCAGCAGTTGTAAAATGTTTGAGATGCTTCTGGAGTGAAATGCCTTTCCTCACTGAAATAGCCAGTCGTAGGCGGCATGAGAGAAGAAAGGGAAGAGCAGTGGATGTGAATGTTGCTTAGAAACACAACTGATGCCATTTGCCGTCATGCATGCCTTTGCAGACCTCCCACCCACATACATTCATTGTCGCTCATTGATTGCTTGGCTAATTGCTCCTTGTATCTCTTGTTTTATGTAATAAATCCCCATCTTTATATCTGTGCATTGATATGATGCATTTTGGAACAGACTGCACTATTGAGCTGTATTAGTCAGAGACAAACTACTGAAACCAGTTCTCCTTCTTGGACTCTATTTTCTGCAGAGTGTTACATAATTTTACATCTGATCTGGCTGCAAAAGCATGTGTATTTCCTTGTATTTCATGTTCTCTGGACAAGCTGCTCATCATCCAAGTCAATACAATACTCTCAGTGTATGTATGTCAGGCTGTTTGCATTGATTTTACTATAATCAAATAACAGCGTGTTTCTGTCTTGCTGCATACCGATAAAAGTTCAGTGAACTGCATGTAGCCGACTATAGTCTTACATGCAGGATGTAATCTTTCTCTTTGAGACTCTTTAGACAGTATATAAAAACAAGGCACTTACAGGGAAGTACACAATAATTCTTTATGCAGTGTAAACCTGGGTTTAACACTGGCAGTGCTTAGTAATTAAAATTAATGGTCATTATTAAGATATGCAGTAAAAAAAAAAAAAAAAAGCTTCACAGACCAACATGTTTATCCAAGCCAATAGTCATTCCACCGCTTTTTATAGAAACCCTGAACAACCGTAATAGAATGAAAATATCTCTTTGGCTCTATTTTAGGCTCTGTGTGTCAGTGACAGATTACCCAGGAATGTTTCCCCCTAAAACCAGCCCCCACATTTAAAAAAAAAAAAAAAAACCCAAAATAACAGAAACTCGGTGCCTTTGTACATAGCTTTTTCATGAAGTATAGACATTTCCAGATAATGTGCAATGGAATTTGTGCCTCAGTGTCAAATCTTTACTAAATGCTTTACTTTAAGTATCCTCCCTCCAGCTTAGTGAAATGAATACGTCAGTCAGCCAACATGAGCCCAGAGAGAAAAGAATGGGATGTGTTATTATGGTAATGTGATACAGGACGTGCAAGAGCTCGACGATAATGCCTGATAATAAAATCTTCATTACTTCTTTAAAATTTATGGACGACTCATGATTTAAACAACTGAAGTCAGACCTGATCTGTACATCAACGGTAGACTCCTGTCAAAATGCTAATTCTGTTTAAGTGTCCCAGTCAGCCAGTAATACCAGAGTCCTCATAAAACTAGACAGCAGCTAGAAATGTTATTTGTCACACCTGTGCTCTTCTTGCTCTGACATGCCTTAATGTGTGTCTAAATTCTTCCATCAGTGTATTTTAAAATCTCAATTATATCATTCAGAAATGTTGACACACCACGCAAACCCATAATCACAGTGCTTTACCAACCCACAGAACTTCATTTTGAGCTTTGTCCCACATCATACATTTACAAAGCATTCATTTGACGCAACGGTATAGCCCTAGGTTATATCTCGGAGTTTTAATATCAAATGGAAAATGCAGTAGCATGCCAGTTCGCATCCCAGTGAGGCACCCGGGATCTATTTGCGTGGAGTCTCCATGTTCTCCCCGTGCAGCGTGGGTTCTCTCCGGGTTCTCTGGCTTCCTCCCACAGTCCAAAAACATGTTGAGGTTAATTGGTGATTCTAAATTGTCCGTAGGTGTGAATGTGAGAGTGCTTGGTTGTCTGTCTCTAAGTGTAGCCCTGTGATAGACTGGTTACCTGTCCAGGTGAACCTGCCTTCACCCTGAGTCAGCTGGGATAGACTCCAGCCCCCCACGACCCTAGTGAGGATTTAGTGATGTATAGATGATGGATGGATGGATGAAAGCTAGTAGGAGAGAGATAAAGAAAGTAAATCATATGTCCAACACCTGATGGCTTTTTTTGTCTTAATAGCATGAACTATTGAAAGACTCGGACAAACACAGGAACACATTGCCCTTTATCTGTCTTAAAGCCTAATTAAAACTAAATAAATCAGATTGTAGGACCGTTTGTCTGATCTTCTTTTAGTTCTTTCTGTTTTTGTTCCATTTATAAATTCAAATACACTCACTGGCCACTTTATGTATTTATTCTGATTTTACTGAGCTTCTACTTTTTCTTTTTTTACATTGTGAAACGGTAATATCTCTATTTTAAGTTTATTATTGGGGTCGTAGTGTGTGGTGATGGTGTGCTAGACTGCTATATTGCGAATCTTCCTAATATTTTGCAGCCCTCATGCTGATGTGATGAGCGCATATATGATGCTTTTTAGCGTATTGATTTGTTTGTTCTTTGACCTTGTGCTTGTACATTTCTTTATGCCTGTGTGAGTCTTGTTTAATGCCTGGCTGGACACCGGTTTCCGCTGTGTATGGTGTGCTAGAACGTTTTATCTAACTTTATAGGCACTTAGGGTTAGAGAATATTTAAGGTTGAGAGGTTAATTCATCATCTTGGCCTGCAGTATTTGTTATTTTCTGAGGTGCTGTGTTAGTCAATCGGCCTCTGTAGCAGATTTTTGTCAGCTAAAGAACTAAAAGTGACTATTACTGATATAAAAGAAGGAAAATAGATCTTATCTGTTTGAATAAATGTTACTTATCACTATAAATGATGCCATTCTCCACCCCGGCTTTACTAAATTGATGCCTTCACCTATTAAGTATGACATAAACAGACCGTTCTTGCCACATTATGTTTATTATTTGCTTTAATTATTATGTTTTTGACCTAACAGCAAGTTTGATTGTCGTAAAATATATTTTAATGTAGAAATACCATCCAAAAACAAGCTTAAAACTGTAGAGCCAGGCACACTCAGCAGAACGTGGTACTGGGTTAAGTAGATCAGCTTTCTCCAGTGCTGCACTGTGAATGCACTGTAAGGCTAAGTAGTGTGAAAATACCGCCTACGCTTAGGGTGCTCATGCACTTACAAGTTTAATATTAAACAGCCTTAATGCTGCACAGAAGATTAACTGCGAAGACAACCAAATGTGTGATTTTTCTCGCAGATTATACAGCAGCGATAATAGCAAGCCGTGGGATCATCATGTCTGTGTTGTGCTCTGACTTTCGCCACATTCATTTTGTCTACCAGCGTTCTAGTCATACCAGCGCCAGATAGCAAGCAGCGCCAGTGTGGCTTTATCAGAATCTGTGAGCAGGTGTGTAGTTGTACAAGGTCAGAGCGAATAAGAGGAATTCTGCAAAGTGTGTGCGTCTATGTTGTGTGTCTGCTAGACTCTGTGTCTGCCTGGGTATGGAATACATTATTGACACTGTGGGATTTGTTTGTGGATCATTTAAACTAAGCCTATTTAGCCAAACAAACAGTATAATGAGGGAGTTGCTGTTTGTGTGTGTGTGTGTGTGCATACATGTGTGTGTTTGAGAGAGAGCTGTGACAAGCAG